ACATATATATGTGCACGCACATGCTTATGTATAAGTAAAATAAATGACATCAATGATACAAGGAATGGGAAGGAAAAATTAAAAATATTTTGTTAAAATTTGGCACAGGAAAGCAGGATAAAATATCTCAAGACTTCTCTTGCCTATTCAGGCTAGTGGGAGCCATCAGCAGATCTTAGAAGGAGAATTCATTTCTGCTATTAAGTAGTAGATGACTATTTTGGAAGCCACATCATCTTCTCTTTCAGCTCTTCAGATGATGACTCTTCTTGGTCAACATTCCTTATCAAGCCTTCAACCTTACATTGACAAATAAGCTATAGCCCATAATAATATATGGTAAAAGGTCCAGGAAAGAAATGATTGGGCAAATAAAAGTGGAATAGTAGCAATCATCTTCCACAAGAGAAGCCTCTTCAATTGTGAGAGCCTCCTAAACTCTGAGTTACAGTTATGTTAAATTAAAATTAGGGAAATTATGTCACAAATAGAGGGTTAATTACCCAAAGTCAGAACTAATACTATTCTAGCTGGCTAATGAATAAGAGCAATAAAATTTATTCCTTTCATAGTACACTAAATATATTTTATTTCTATAGTGATCTGGAGATTTCTTGAATTTTAAATAATTTTTCTCCAATGGTAAGCCAACTTAGGGCTTATTTGGCAAAACATTGGTTGCAAAAATGCATCCAATTTTCCTTATTTAAAACACAAAATAATTTATGATGCATCTGAGAGAGGAAATCAATGTATAAAATCAGTTCTTGCCTTATTAACAGGAGAATATATTACATGTAATTATCCTATTAGTATAATATATACGAGTACATATTTGTTTCTAGAAAAGAATTTGCAAAACCTCAAAATTTGGCATTATTTCAAAAAATTTAAATGTTTTAAATATGACTCATTTTTCACAAAATAGAGGAAAGAGAAAAATATGCAACTCATTAGGTAATATCTCTATTTCAACATATCCTCTTGATCACCATATAGTATATACAAATGGGCCTCCTACTCAGTGTCCCAGGCCAAGGGGTTCCTGGACTTTGGAGAACCTCCCTTGAAATTTTCCAAGTCTCCTTTCAGAACCTAGAACTACGCAGGCACTGCAGTACCGTTAAGTTGGCGTGGCCTGAACTCCCTCATGCAGACCCTCACGGGTCCTGGTCTTTTCCTTCCCTTCAGGATTCTCTGTCTCCCATCCCACATATAGGGTCTCTCAAGAGCTCCAGGACTCATACCTATGGGGTGGACTGGGGGTACCATGGCCATCCATATTCCAGGAGAGCAGTTTTGCAAGTAGATGGTTCATGCCGGCCAGAAATGAATTTCTTTTGGGGGGGATCATGTGAAATGTGGTTGCCAGGATGACACTAATATGATGATTTGTGGAGACTTAAATTATCTATATCAACAGGAGCCATGCCAAACAAATACTTGTTTGGAGCCACACACTTTAGGGCCATAGGGCACTGGAAAGAGTTATCTGATTGTGGCTATATAAAAGGTAGCAAAAACTAAAAATAAAATTCTATGTCCTCATAGGTAACATCCCAACATAGAGGATAAAATATGTTATTTTCCTATAATACATTTTCATCTCTGTTGTCTTTAAACATATGATAGAAATTTTAAAGAAAAATTTGGTATATTGTTTGAAATTAGTAAGTAAAAACCAAAGAAAGATATGTGAGATAGTCTAGGCAAAGATAAAAAAAGGAACATATAAAGAGTGGTTTTCTCTGCACATCGGCTGATGAGTGATTTTATTTTCTTCTTGCATAAACATATACAATAGTGTTTAAAAATCTGAAATATTCAATCTTTCATTTTTCTTTTCAGCTCTGACCACATGACTGAATTTTGCAATAGGCCGAATTTCCACTCTTGTTCACGAAATTATGTTTCTT